CTTAAAAATAGCTAATATAGAGACTGATAGCAGCTTTATCAACACGGAGCTCTGTAGGTGCTCAACCTCAATGTAAGCTTGTGCTTAGCAGCTGTGGTCAGCCTCTGTTTCTGGAGTGCTTCATCTGGATACTGGAGCTACCTCCTTTTACATATGTTTTCACCATGCTGCAGTTTCTACACAAATGGCAAATAATCATCAATCGATGCAAGTATTTAACAACTTCATAAAGAGTCAGTGTTACAAAAGAAGAGCTTCATGTAGTTCTAAAGAAATATGTTTAACTAAGGAAAATAACAATATAATATAAAATAATATGCCTGTTGTGATATAGTCATATGACTGTTATGGTATAGTCATCCAAATATTCCACAAAAAGAGAGTTATGGTACATTTATCTTCATTACTTGCTTATGCTATCTTTTTTCTCATCACTTTTTTTCCCCTGCAGGGATATGAGGTAAAGGAAGGGATCTCCTCTGTGGCTTGAAATAAGTTAAAATTAAAATCCCAACTAATAAAACCCCTGAAATTCAAATGGGCATTACTATTTAGTGAAATGCAGATTTTAAAAAAGAAATAGTTGCAGTAAAATAATGAATATGATTTAACCTGGTAAAAACATCTGATATAAAGTAACTACTAAGGAAACTAACAGAATTCCCTGGTGAATGAAGCAGAGGACCTGACTAATTACTGTGCTAGATGGAGTAGAGTATACTGGGGTAGGAGGATTGTTTAAATTGGATGGCTTGCTGTCATGGTTCATTCGCACCTCACAAATTTGCAGGACAACGTACTGTGTGAATCAAACTTATTTCATGAGCTTATTTGGTAGAAAGCAAAAAAGCGCTCAATCCCTAGTAGATGAGCCTAATTTGTTAATTGTGTAAATCATTACTTCATTATTTCACTAATTCATGTGCTTATGAGCAAAATAGTTACCTAGCTGAAGTGAGAGTGCTCATCCTTCCTTGTCTGTCACGATGCTGTCTGGCTGCTGGTGGATCCGCTTCAAAGGCTGTTTGGGTGAGCTGAATGTATTTGCACCTTCCAGCTCAGAAGTTTGGTCTATACCATCTCTATTGGTCGTTTCGGTTACTGGGCAAGAACTTGCTTAACTCTAAAGAGTTTTGGTCTTATCGGGCGTTAATAACGAGTTACTTATAAAACAGCAAGGATAGCAGACCTCCTTTCTGTCTGTGTCTGGCATACAAGGTGCCCCTGCTTTAGCTTAATGGCGCTGCTCCCAGCAGTCACCAAGCCTTAGCATGAGCCGTGTGTTAGGCCAGAGTCTGAGCAGGAGTCAAGTGGACAGCCACACTTGCTTGGTGAAAGTCACCTGCATAACCTTACTGCAGCTGGGTTTGAATCCATGCCTTCCTCCTCAGTCTTGCTGATGCTTCCTTTTACTAGTTGCTGACTTTTTGAAGGGTGATCAGAGTGAAAAAGTCATCAGCATTCAGAGACAAACCATGGAGCTTCTGTTACCAGTCAGTATTGGACCTTAGACATCACCTTGGGGCATGCAGGCCTGCTAATAAATCACAGTGGAGCCAGGGGCTTCTTTGTGCATTTGGGTAAGGATAAGAGGTAGAACATGTCTTGATCTCTTGAGGTGATGAAGGAATTCCAGGCAAGAAGATAGATGAGGTGGTCTCAGTGAACAGAAAGAGGATTAGTCAAGCCAGTTTTGTAGGTTAAAAGTTATATCCAGTAAGAAGGCAGTAGAAATTTAGGCATAACTACAGTTAACAGATTCTTCTGTAGATTCCTAAGATGGGTTCCCTATTTAGTGCATGAAGAGGAGATGTAGGGTTTGTTGATGATGCACCACAGAAGATGAGAATCAGATGTAACCTAAGTTATGCACACTGTGACGATGTTAATGCATGAACTAGAAAAACACAGTTTTACTTTGGTTCCTAGGATGAGTTGGCAGAAAGTCCATTTGAGAGACAATAAGCCTCTTTTTACTTGTAAACTGAGCGAATTTAGTTTGGGAGTAATTGAGGAAAGACAAATATAGAATCTCACAAAGCCGTTTTTTTTACAATCACATTTAACAGTGAACCACACGCTGAAAACTTTCTCCGAAGCTGTGAACGTATTTTTGTCATGCTTCCACAGCAAAACCTCACTGTCAGTTTATCAGACCCTGAGAAAAAATAGTGACAGGACCCTAACTGCTATAACTAAGTTATGCATTGTGATTGTAACACAGTAAGAAATGTCATTATTTTTTATAATTGCTTAGATCAGTGATTTCAGAATGCTGTTAGAAGTTAAAAAAATGGATACTTGAAATAGGCTTATTATGATCATTGTACAATACACGTGCTGTAATCCTGAAAGTGTGTTTTCTGTGTTACGCTGTTATGAGTAACCAAGCAAGATGTTAACGTTAGGGGTGCATTATTGTGATGAAATTGAAGTTCAAAAATAAAAGCTCTCATTAACTTCAGTCCACAATATATGCAAAACTTCCCGCTGTGTGTATTCATACATTTACAGTGTGTCCCTTAAAGGTATTGCAGGGTTCTCAGACAGTGAATTACGGGTACAGCTGTGAGAGTCTGCAACTCTTCATGTTCACCTCAGGCTAGAAGAGCGGGAAGGAAACCCTGTAGGCTCAATGAGACCATGCAGCTCCCAAGTTAGTTAGTAGACAATCTGATTCTAAAAAGTTAGATGCAATCTCAGAGCACCTGTTTCTTCTTGCTTAACTGACAAGCAGTATATAGTCCACATATCTCTTAAAATACAGTATTCATGGGTTTTGGATTCTATTGGTGATTTTTTAAATTTTTTTAAGTAGGTTTTTTTTTTTTTGACATATACATTCTAGTTACTGCATGTGAAATACACATATATGCTGTTTTGTATTTGCAGTTGTATTATCCACAATATTACAGAAATGAATGAAGGTTTTTTTAGTTGAAAAAAATTAGTCCATATTCCCAGTGATGTATACTGCTAATGTGACTTTTAGTTGTTTGAACTGGTGCTTTTCTTTTAAGCTGCTGTTATGAAAGAGTCCCTAAACTTATTTCACAGAAACTATAAAGTCATTCATTCAGTGCAATAAAAGATCTTGCTTTCTTAACCTTTCAGAAACTCACCCAGTTGAGCAGTCAGGCTGTATTATTCTATATCTTGTCTAACATGAGGAAACAGTCCCAAAAGAAAGATATCCCAAATTAACGCCACACTTTGTTAAATAGAGACATTCTTGGTTTTCACCAAGCTAATTCGATCCAGTTCAGTTAACTCTTTTTTTGTTGTACTCAGATCACAAAAGGCAGCCATGAATGAAGCAAGTTCATCATGTGTTTGACACATCAGTGTGAAACTCAAAGGCAGACTAGCAGGGAGGGGTCCTGCCTCTAGCTTTTTAGACAATACCCGATGAAAGAGGCCCCTCATTCAAAACTTTTCTCTAGCAAACTAGGCAGAATGCTTCAGATCACTGTTACAAACAGGTACAATGGGAATTAGCCGGAACTTGATTCGTCAGACACCTTCTTATTTCTAGTTGTGACTGTTCATGTAATCCAGTCTTTACTTAATACCCTCAGTTCTGCAGATGGTTCACTGGATTTTTGTGTAAGCAAAAGACTACCTACTTTCTCAACTTAAAGAAAAATTTACAGTGAATATCATTTTGTAAATGATGTTCCTTCCACTTTTACACTGTGAAATGTATGGCTTATAAATTCAGATAACAAAGAGCAATCGACATTTTCAAAATGCCCAAATGCAAAAATACATTTTCCCTACTTTAAGTGACCTTTAAAATAAAAAAAAGTAAAAATTTTCTTATAACTTTTTAAATTGTTCTTTCAACCACAGCCTAAATTTGCATTATCTTACTAATTTATTTTTTTCCTTCATGTACCAGCTTATTTACTGTAGAATTAATCAGTAGCACTAGGCCCTTGAGATTCTGTAATATAAAAAATAAGTAAGAAAGGAAAGAAATGAACTTGTCAGTTCTGAAGGCTGTAAATATTTCATGGTTCATAGTAGCTGGTTACAAGTTCACTGTAGCCAAACAGAGATCTGTTTTCTAGAAGCTCTGTCAGCAAACCTCGCCCTTAGCCAGTGTATACAGTCTAACTAAATAGCAGATTTTGTGATGTGAAATAATGATATCTGCTAGGATGCTACCAAGTAAATACTATTTGTGAGCCATATTCAAATTCTGAACAGATTTTATAAAGAGTTAGTATTCTCTCAAAACTTGTTATAGCAAGTACATCAGAATGCAGTAGCATTGATTTTGAAGATATTTGCAAATAGCATCAATCTGAGATAACAGCGGACCTTCTCTAGGCCTGACGTTTTGACAATGACCGCTTTTATCATTATCAACTGTGCTTTTGGAGCTGAGAAGAAAGATCTCAACACAACAAAGTCATGAAATAACTTCACTTTCTGCATACGTTGGATAATCATTAGAGTTATAAAATAATAGTTTATTTACTCAATATGAAACGGCTTTTCAGCTCTGACTTAAGGTGGTGTTCTCACTGGAATTTGTAAGAGACATTTCTCCTCTGTAACAACTGCCATGAAAAGTGGCAAAACATGTTCAGTGTTTTGGGTTTTGTCTTTTTTTTAAACAATTGCATCCTATTCCCAGAAAATTTCATTAAAAATGTCTCTTTATTCTTTGGAAACTGTGGTTAATCTAGTAATTATACAAGAGCTAGGGAAGTCCAATCTGTAATATTCTTTTCTGCATTTCTTAGTTCCCTACTCAAATTATATGACGAGTATGAAAAATACTCAAAACTGTGAACAAAGAATATATTAAAATTCCTTTTAACTTTGTATATTGTCTTATTTTTCGTAAGTTCAGCAAGTCAAGAAAATGTATCAATTCATACGAACTGTTTTCACAACTATATACCTAAATCAGTATTATCTTCTGGAAGGTGTTTTGGTCGGATCTAAGTATGCACTGGTAATATATGGGTTTTTTATTTTTCCCACAGTTATAATATGAATCCTTCTGGCATTGAGGACCTCAGGAAAACAATGGTGAGTTACGAAGTGTTATTGAAAGCCATCAATAAATGCCACCTAATTGGTGACTGACAAAAAATATATAAACTCTTATTTTTGTTTATCCGCATATAAGGAAGTATTTGTTTGTCTCCCATTTAATTGATATTTCCAGAAATTATAGTAAAAAAATTCTCTTTGTTGCTTAGAGGCTTAAGACTGGAACAAGATAGACTTGGAAATAAAGAAGAGTTTTACACTGAGTGTGCAAAATATTTGGATAACTTCTGGTAATATTTTCCCCCCTCTTCTCTACTTTACGTCAGAGATCTTTACTCAGAATGTACAAAGCAGCACTGCTGTTCTGAGGTATTTCAGATAAAACTGGAGAAGTGAGAGTCAGGTGGACAATTCTGCATTAGCCAGTGATATAGTAGTTGACCTAGCAGGTGCTTCCCATCACTGTGGTTGGAGATTGAGGACTTTTTTCTAGGTGGTCAGTCAAAATGGAAGTAATGAACTTATGTGTAATAGGATTAACAATGCAAATAATAAATGAACAGCCTTTCAGAAAACCCTGAAAATGGAAAGACTAGAATTTATCATTTAAAATATTCTTTTGACTCTAAAAGTACCTAGAATAAATTGTATACTAAGAAAGAAAAGAGAAAAAACAGTCCACAGATTTGCAATGCAGTTTCTTTGCTTAAAATAAAATGTGGCCTTACGAGAATTTCTTCTCTGAACAGATCAAATCTTTAAAAGTGGGTTTGTTTTCAATCTTTAAAACCTATAGAAAAGAAGTTGCACAAGCAAATAAGACTTTGTACTGTTTGGTTTTTTTCTGTTTTATGTAAATGAGTTGTAATAACATTTGATGTTATTATAAACTGCCTAGTTTTTATAATATAAGAAACTGGTTGAAGATGTCAGAGTATATGAAGGCTGCCTTTGATCAGATAGTAAACCGAATTCTACTAGGCGGTTACTTAATCTCTGACAAAAAGCAACATCAAAAAAATTGATTTAACTTAGCAGCTATTGTCTGTAAAGTAACCATAATTACAGTTTCTATATGCTTGCAAATACGCTACCGCAAATCTTGTAATTTATTGCTGGTAAAAGCATTGCTATAGTTCTTTTAAGGAATAAGATGTGAATTGTTTTATTTAAAGGATTTAAAGGTGATAAAAGAAATCCTTGATGATTTTTCTTTTGGAATACCAGCTATCCTAAATGTCAGTTGCAGGATTATGAGGTGGCGCTCATTTAATATGAAATACAATTAGAAGGAGAAGAAACTATATCTTTCACCCATAGCGTTGAATGAAACTATTTGATTTTTTTTTTAACGTTCAAGATTACTTTCTAAGGTGTTTGAAGTAATTTATATTAGATTCTGCAATAATAGCCCTCACCCAAGTTATTATATTTCTTCCTTGTGCATCACATTTAGTAATTATGTTTTTATGTCTTCTACTCTGGTGCCAACACCTGTCTCTGAAAGCAGTGTTTAAATGGGCACAGTAGCCAGTTGAAAGGGCAGCACGAGCTCTTTAAGGCCTAATTAAGAACTGAAAGGAAGATGAAGTAAGTAGGAGAAAAGATGTGAAAGTAGCTTAGATGATATTCCCAGAGCAGAATTCCTCATTAGAACAATAAAGGGATGATCAGAGACTGCCAGGCCTTCATTTTATCCAACTTCATTTTCTCCATTTCCTCTGAATGTCAATTTGTACCCCAGTAATGTTTTGTAGCCAAGAGAAAACCCTTCTTTACATAGCTTGTTACTTAGAATCTCTTTTCTTAACAATTCATTATAAGATTAATGTTTTATATTCAAATTTTAGTAGCTATTTTTGTAAGGATATGATTGTTCCTTAATCTGCCACTTGTTTGTTCAGACTGAACATTTAAAATCTCCTTAACTTTAGCAGTACTTATTTCTAAGTGCTAAGAACATATAACTGGAATTTGCTTGTGTATTTAATGTGACAGGTTATTCCCAGAAAGTTCTATACAGAGCATGTGTATGACAAAACATCTTTAAAACCTATGTATTACACACTTTTTTCCAGTAAACTTTATATAATAATTAAAAACATCATTCCATCTTAGTTTCTATTCCTCTGCCAAATCAGAAAATTAAGCAAACCTTTATTTTTAGATATGGAAGCTTTAATGATGTCTTTGCCAATGCGTAAAAAAATTTAGTACTGTAAGAACAACTTTTACTTCCTTCTTGTAGAAGAAAATGCATTATATATACAGTGACCACAAAGTAAAGCTATTTTATCTTCTCTATTTGTTGGAAATCAATTACTAACCAGTTTATAAATTTCATCAAGTTAAGCATTTTCATAAGGTGGGAATTATTGATCACTTAAAATAGTCTAACTTGTTCATGAGTTTATTGTTAATGACTAAACGCATGTAGATGAATGTGATGTTATCTATCGCAAATGTAATGAGAAATCCTTAAAAGCACATATTCTCAAGAGCTGCTATTAGAATATAATTGATGGAAAAGGGCTGGTTGATCTGTAGTGCTTCAACGTATCTGCAGTGCACCATCGCCGTTTATTACCTTTATTTGAAAACTTTGGCCACCTGTATATTTTAATGGTTAGTTATATGCCTATGTGTAAATATTGAGCTGCACTGAAAGAAAAGGGATGAAGCCAGACACTTGTGTATGAATTTATCATGTGGTGTGCTTCCTGCTGTGCATGCTTTATCAATTTTAATGACAAGTTTCAACTGTAAACAAAAGCTATCTCGTGCTCATATTCTGTCCTTTTAGAGGTCTGGGATTTGAGAGATTTTATTACTTCACTTACTGAGAGGTTTCATATCTTCAAAATGTTTCAGTTTCCGAACCAGATAAAAGTTAACTACTATCTGGTTACATAAGGTGACCACTATTTCTTCTTGATACAAAATACGACGTTCAAATTTGCAGCATTTTGGATCATATGTTGCCCTTTATTATAGGACTAGTTTGCCCGTCCCTGATAATACTTGTATTTAGTGAGTCATCAGAAATCATTACAGAAAAGATTTGTTTCCTGCTTAATTCAGCTCCACCTGCTTTAAAGCAGACAAGAAAGAAAGAAAGATCTTTCATAGTACACATTTCTATTTTAAGTTCTCTCGTGCAAATATGATGCAACTTTTAACTTCACCTGAAATGTAAAATAGGAAGTTCTAATTACTGCTCATAGGTACATTCATTGTGCATGTTTCTTTCTGAGAAAAATATTTTTTCCGAAATGATGGGTTTGGATACTTATTTCAAACTGGGCAACCCTATCTCCAGCTGAGTCTTCTACGTTAGGGCTATTGGAGGGAAAAACTCTAGAGGTGTAGTCTAAGAAAAGTTGATTTTCTCAAGCAGCGTACATAAGAATTATTTGAAAAGCTGTCAACCAGTTCAGAGGACTGAAATACTTAATAAAATTTGGTGGTGCTTTTTTTCTTTTTTAAACTTATTTATAGGATGGAAATCCTTTTGATGCCACTGCAGGATACCGTAATCTTACTTATGAAGAGGTTTTGCAGGAGCTGGTGAAACATAAAGAACAACTTAAGAAGAAGGACATCCATATTCGTGAACTTGAGGATTACATTGATAATCTTCTTGTACGAGTAATGGAAGAAACGCCTAGTATTCTCAGAGTGCCATATGAACCTTCTCGAAAAGCTGGCAAATTTTCCAAAAGCTAAGATGATACTTGATGGTACTTTCTGCTGAATCTGTTTGTGGAAGGAAATCATACTTAAACATTCTGACTTCTTTTCATTCCTTTTTTCCTAAGAAATTCCTAAGGAATCGAGAGGAGGCATCTGCAGTTTAGGTTTTTCATTTGTTTTTTACTCCAAACATTAGCAGGGGATGCCGAAAGTAGTATTCGGTTATGTTAGCTAAACAGCTTTTTAAATGAACAATGATATAATGATCTATGTTAGGTGAACAGTGAATCTCTCTCTCTCTCTCTCTCTCTCTCTCTCTCTCTCTCTCTCTCTCTCTCTCTTTTTTTTTTGAAAACACCTTTAGCTACAGTGTTACTTGCAGTGTAAATAATGCACATTAAATATGTCCAGTTTTATACGGTAGCTTAATTTTCACCATCTGGCAGTTTCAACTGGAATAGCGCGTGCTATTTTGAATGTTTTCTTGACTGATTATTGGTATTATGTAAATTTTTTTCGTTTTGGTATTACAGCATGCCTTCAAAACCACTGTTTTCGAGCCAGTATAACATGCTTTGCTAAATCTAAGTGTGGCTTATTGTAGTGGAATGTGGTTTGTTTTACACATACTAGACGGAAACAGTGATGCACAATCTTTACAAAGAGTAAATGCTGTATCTTATACAATGTGCTTTTTGTACGACAGTATAAAACATATCAAGCCATTTCAGTAACGCACATGCTCGAATCAGTTATTTTACAATTAAATTCTGAATTTTATGTATAATGATTGAACTTTGATAGGGAGCTCATAGGGTTATTTTGAGGATCATTTTGTAGAATGTTATCGCATGCCTTTTTATATGTTAAAGTACTTCAAACAGTCTTAATAGTCGGAAGTAGGACTGGAGGAAAGTATGGAATAAAGAAATGAGTACTTTGTTCAGTCAAAATCTAGTACAGTAGAAATATAGGAGAAATGAATAGACTGAGTTAAATAGACATCATAATTCTGAAAATATAAAAGTGAGTCAATTTAAGCTTGAATTTTAAATGATATATATCTGTCTTAGGTTTCCTAAATCTTATGACAACAAAGTATATGACTTTAGAAATAGACTATGTTGCTTAAACACATCCAGAGTACTTAGAAAGGCTTATCATTTAAAAGAAAAGATCTGTATTCTTTGTAAGTACTTTTAAAAGTTGGTTTTCACTAAGGTAAATGAAAGATGAATATAATAAGAATCTTCCCAATTATTTAATAATTGTTTATAAGATGACATATGAAAAAGGTATCTCCTATTCAGTAAATTTGCAAAATAGAGTGCTGAACACACAACAGGAAAATGCTGTAGTAGACTAATCCTCACAATATTAACATAAGTAGATTTTAATTTTATTTATATGGGTCTCAGTTGGATTGTCTGTTGCTCCAGAGCAGTAAAAAGATATAAAAATGTGTACGGGAGAATATTCTAGATTTAGATATAAGAAGATTGACTGTCTTTTCCTCGTCCTTCTCTTTTCTTCCACATGATCTATTTTTTTCTTACATCATCATATAATGGCTGTTGCTGAGGAAGAAAAAAGGCTAAAGTTAAATTTTAGTTATTTTGTTGTTGTAAAAAATCTGAACATACTTAATTTTCATTTTTAAAAATGCAAAGGTTAGTAAAATCATCTTTAATAATTATGATCTGGAAAAACATGTGAAGAAATCTACTATCTAAAGGCTTTTGACGATGTTAGTATTCTGTGACAGCACAGAGTTGTTCTCCCTAGGAAAACAATTCCTTGTACAGTTGTTCTCAGATTTCAATTTCTTCTTTTAGTTTTCATTGCGGAACATGATGTGGAAGAGGATGCTTGTACTAGAACTATCCCTCACCTCCGCAGTGCGAAGGTCCTAAAATTTGTGACGTTTGAGCATTCTCAGCCCTATGTTTGGATTCATTAGCATAGATCATTGTGCCTAAATGGAGCCTCGTTATTCCATTCTAGCCCTGCCTAATTGTAGTGTTCTGCCTGTAGACATTTGTGACAAAGAGATGGGCCCAGTCCATAAACTAGTCTCTCTGCTGACAGCCTAAGGATTTATCGAGTTCTGTACCTCATAAACCATATGAATGTTCTTCTGACCTACTTAAGATCCAAATGACTGTAAATTTGTAGTAATACAATCAAAGTGCCAAAGGTTATGTAGTAAGTTATGGTACATTTACTGTTGGAATTTAACTTTTGCACTCAAGTAGGTTTTAGTTTTCTAATTACACCAAGATATATTTCAGTTATTCAGTGTTTCCATAAAAGTTCTCAGTCATTTTAGAACGTTTGGCTGAGGCTCGTGGTTTTCTCGTATTGTTAATGGGGAAGCGTGCAATTGTTTTCAGTTCCACAGTAATTTTAAAACTCACTGGTACAATATGAGACCACCTGTATTATCTATGAAAGTTTAATCATACACACCAATGGAGTTTTACAAGTAAACTAACTGGAGAATGCACTCTGATGACTTTCAGTTGCAAGCCAACTTATAATTATTAAAATGAAGCTCTACTATATTTAGCACCTCTGAAATCACTTCTTTTAGAATGTAAATGTAGAATATCAAAATGCGTAATTGACTAAAAGCAGATCATTTGACATATTTGCATACCAAGAATGATAAGCAGATTAAAGGTAAGGAAAAGATCAATTTTTGTGCATTAGGGAAGAAACTTGTTGCAGCTTTGAACGTGCTATCTAGTCTTTATCTGATCTGTTTATCAGGGAACAGGGGAGAATCACAAATGCAATTTAGGAAAAGGTTAAGTTACTAAAAGATGCAGAATGGAACATTTACAACTATAAAATATTTTTATGAAGTTTGTATAGCTAAAGGTGCAAGTTACTTTTGGAGCAATTCCTGGAAGATATTAAACATACATCATATTCTGTTTAGAAAGAAGTTTTGAAAAACATCATCACACTACTTGTATTTTTATAAACCATGCAGCTTTCAAATGAAAACATTTCATACAGAGTAATTTATAAGTTGAAAACAAAGAAACTTCTGTTTCTCCCTTAGTATAAAATTTCAGATAATTTCTTTCAGATCATTTTAAAACTGTAATAACTTGCCACTTATGATCAATCTTTCCTGTACTTTTAAAATCTAGGGATGAAAATCTTGGACATCTCCACATCATTTTGATCTTTTCTCTCAAAATTAGCATGAAAGTTCATCCATATAAACTTTGAAACAGCTCTGTTCATAGCGATGTACTTTACTTACTTGAACAAATATCAAGGCCATATTTTAGAGTTGTAAATAACAAATGAAAACTTTCTGCCATTCAAAAAGAATGTTTTATATATATATACACACATATATATATAACCTCTTGCTGCTATGTTTTATGTTTAGCTTGGTTTTCCACCTATTAATGAATGTAGTATTCTCCATAGATTATACATAACTACATTCATTGCTGTTGGCTCTGTATCAAGAACTGTTTGTAATTTTCCAGCTGTGAAAATGTTGCCTTGCATTTAGAAAGGTTTCATGATCTGGGGACTAAGGAAACTCAAGCTCATTAGGTACTAGTTTGCATTTCTTTCTGTACAGGTTAGATGCATCTTCAAACAAACAGAACTGCTGTCTTAATAAGTTTACTGCTGCACTGGAGGTTTATTTACATTTCCAGGTTTAAAGAAAAAATATTGTCCTACACCAAGTTTGTAAAGTAAGCTTATGCTTTTTTGCTGTTTATGTATCCATTACTATTGTAGGTATGATAGAGGTGTTAGCTGTGTGTTTTTTAAATGGTAATATTTAAAGCATGTTGACTAACTTCCTCTCTTTGAAGTAAATGGTGAAGGATTATAGTGCTGCTGTGCTCCTGATGCTAGATTTAAGGGTCTGTTGGCACTTCCATTTTGAAACCCTCTTTTCAGGGATTTATAAATTCTAAATCTAGACACAGTTACTGGAAGTATTTAATATGCAATAGGTAGCACTTTAATCTGTTTATGAAGGATTTTGAGATTCATTTCTATTGAAAGAGGCATGGTCTCCTAAAGGATATTTGGCATTTGCTTTATCTTTCATAATTTGTACATTGAAGAATCCACTGTATGTTACAGATGGTAGGGCCTTTCCTATTCGTCTTAGAAGCTTCCAGATGTCTTGTATTACAATGCACTATAAAAAGCTGAAGATCCAGGTTATATAGAAGTCTGTAAAAGATGTGAACTTAGAACTTAAGGACTGATTTTTGTCTTGTGCAATCAATGGTAGTTTGTATACATTTAATAATGGTACAGAATGACAGCTATATACACGTGACAACTATAAACTTATAATGCATGAAAAGCCTTATTTTTGTTTCATTATTGCAACTTCAACTCCTTTAAGTTGATTAAAATGTTATCTTAATATTTTAATTTCTGTCCATTAAATAAATATTGCATGTTTAACACTAATAAAGCATCACAATGCACTACCACAACATTTCGTGAATTGTGATATTAGTCTGTGTTATGCAAAGTAACATTTGAGCTCTACTTAAGTATGTATTGATAATGTAAGAACCATGCTTTTAAGAATCACAAACCATAGAGAGGTATATTTCCTTAAAGGCAGTTCTAAATGAATATCCTACCTGTTTGCAAGGTAGCCATTAAGCGAAGTCTCTTCAGGAGTTCCCAAAACTTGTAAATGTTGAAAAAAGGGCATGTTCTTAATGTGCTAAAACACACACATTTTCTATATGAAAGCTTCAGTTCTTGTGAAAGTACCATTCCTCTGATTTTGTGATTGTGTAAATATTACAATGAGATCTTTGGTACTACAGTAAGAATTGCATTTAGGAGAACGACAAACACTGTTACAAGGTTTTGATATGGAAAATAGTACTATTCCTGATTTATGGAATAGAAGGCAGCCAGAATGATAGAAAACAATGGCCTTCCGCCCTCAACTCCCTGCCTTGCAGATGTTTTTTCAGTGCTCCCACAAGCGTTTGAACACACTTTTCTCAGGAAAAAATGATTTTACCTCTCTTGCTTTGCTTTTCTATGAGGTAGCAAGGCAGCAAAGTCTGTCTCCTGACAATAGTAGTTTCCTTGGATGCTAAGGACATATGAAGAGTAATCATGGCTCAGAAGAAGAAATTCATGTGAGTAGTTCACTTGAAGAGGCTTGAATTTTATTGGGATGCAATTCCTTTCCTTGCGGTTAACCTCCTTGACTAGGTCGTATATTGTACCACTATAGACTTGAAATGAGCCTTAGAAAGGGTTCTTTCCTTTGAGGTATCCGTGAAATGTTGTGTTGGTGGGAAATTGTAATCAATTTATGAGAAGTACATTTACTTATGCATGCTTTGTTATCCAGGTTTCCATCTGCTGCTTCACCTCATGTCTCACTGTCTTTGCTACTTTTGTAACTGGTGAGCAGATAAGCAATGGGAACAGAAAAGGAAGAGATGTTTATTAAGCCTTGTGCTGCGTTTTGAAGACCAGTTTCCATCTGTAATTCACATATGATAACTTTAATTTCATTTTCTGTGCCCATTTGAAAACAGAGCCAATGCTATTTCCCTACCTCACAAGCATAACGTACCAATTGTAATTCTACTGGCAATGTAACAGCCCAGCTTGGTTAGCTAGCTTCCAGTTTCGCCAGCATGGAGTTGGTTTTTGACCATTATTTAGAGTCTCAACCCGATAAGGGTTTTTCAATGATATTTTAAGCATAATTTAACAGCTAAAGAGCTATCGCAAAAATTAGAGGTAAGCTAGAAGATTATGAAGAACAATTCTTCTGTCTTCAGTTACTTATATTAAAGTTATTAAAGTTAGTTATTTGTGGAACCATACAGAATAAAAATCTATATTTCATTTCCTTATTTTTAAAATTGTGTAATCTATTGTTCTAGGAGTGTTGTGCAAACTCTAGCTACAGCTCAGTTGGGATACATTGCCCTTTTGTGTAACATTGGACACGTTCATAAAGTTATAAATAATGATGATGAAAAACAAATCCCATCTCTTATTCTACATTAATAAATTAAATGTTGGATTATTTTGTAATAGGGTAATTTTACGAGAGATAGGAATAAGATTATCTGTTAAAGGAAGTCGTTATGCTTGTGTCTGTACTACATATTGAATAATGATGATACAGTGCTGCCACACTGAAATACAATTCAATTTGAAAACTGTATTGCATTTTAAGACATTGTCAGTGCCGTATTTGTATAAACATCAGTATATTCAATCCTGGAAGCCAGTGGATATTCCACAGAGAGCTTTGTAATGTATTTGTAATGTGGTTTTACTGCATATGGCAGCACAGAGCAGTCAGTTAGGAACCGATAGCGGTTTTTGACAGAAAACCTACTATGGCTAAATACTGATATGTTTATACTTGAAAAGTAAGCAGTTTAAAAAGGTTTTGGGGACATGCAACATTTAAATGGAACCAAATACTTCAAAGTGGAAAAACTTTCTGGGGTGATCTTTTGTTTCGACCTTAACAGTATACTCTATGTAAGAGGGAAGGAGTAGAAAGAGCACTGGGTAGATTCCACTGTTCTGATTTAAAAA